AGATTTTCAAAAATCCCAACAAAATAAACTTTTACAGAAAAAAAAGTGTATTTCACATGCAAAAGTTCTATAAATCCCCACCATTGCTGACCAAACAAAATCTGCACAAAGCCATAGTAACGTGTAAAAAACTACAGCCGTTTACCTACATTTATATGATCAGCTTGATAATACTTGGTCTTACCAATGGCGGCCGTCGTTACATCTCACGCTGAGCTTCAGCTTGTAGTCGACACACCCGCCGTCGACAGCGGCGGCGTTGCGGTCGATCGTATTCAATGTAGCAGCTGCCTGATCTCAACCATCTTAACCAAACTCCATGCTGGTTATTTTAGGGTAAGCTTATCTTTAGGTGGCCAAGCTTTATTATGGAAGACACTAAGAGGCCCGACCGACGATACTCACACTTTGAGACAAACCCTTCATTTGTTCCACCCCACAGCTTTCACAGTTCTCTGGTGTTTCTCATTCTTTGCCCTTGTTTTGCTCTCGGTTCTGTACCTTTTGAGATGCTTGCTTCACTTCAAGATGGTGAAAGAAGAGTTCTTTCATCATGTAGGAGTCAACTACCTATTCGCTCCATCGATTTCTTGGCTTCTTTTGCTTCAATCAGCACCTTTTTTCACTCCCGAAAACCACTACTCCTACGTGGTTCTATGGTGGGTTTTCTCCGTTCTTCCTATCGTGGTGCTTGACGTGAAAATCTACGGTCAATGGTTCACTAAAGGAAAGAAGTTTCTATCGGCCGTTGCGAATCCGACGAGCCAGTTATCGGTTATAGGGAACCTGGTGGGTGCTCAAGCTGCGGCTAATATGGGTTGGAAAGAGAGTGCCATTGGGTTCTTTTCTCTAGGGATGGTGCATTATTTGGTGCTATTCGTCACGCTCTACCAACGTCTATCGGGAACCGATCGGCTTCCGTCGATGTTGAGGCCTGTTTTCTTCTTGTTCTTTGCCGCACCGAGCATGGCTAGCTTGGCTTGGCAATCCATTGCCGGCTCTTTCGATACCACATCCAAATTACTCTTCTTTCTTTCCCTCTTCCTCTTCATGTCACTGGTAATTATCATTTAATTATATTCCGAAATTGAGTAATTTTTATTATTTTTATAAGTTGATCTCTTTAACACAAAATTTTACATTCATCATTGATCAGGTATGTAGGCCGACATTGTTCAAGAGATCGATGAGAAGGTTCAGCGTGGCGTGGTGGGCTTACTCGTTTCCGTTGTCGATGCTGGCTTTGGCATCGATGGAATACGCCGAAGAAGTCAAAGGCGACATCCCACATCTTATAATGCTTCTTCTTTTAGCATTCTCTGTCTTGGTCTCCATTTGTTTGGTCGTTTTCACACTGCTTAACTCCAAAATACAGCTCTTGTCTGTCTGTTTTGATCCCATCTCAAGTTTCGTTTCTCGTGCCAAGTGTTTCACGGCGCATCAAAACGAACAACCATCACAAACTGTTTAATTTGGATGATAAATCTGCAAATTGGAAAACATGGAGAAAAAAAAGGGTCTAATGAAACTGAACTTTTATGTTTAGTAAATACTTGGAATATTTCGGATGAATTAATGTACATGTCGTGTTTCTGACAAGTAGTCAGAGTAAAAATCAAAGTTTTCTACTTGCAGTACAGTCTGGTTGCTGTTTCAACTTTCACTTTTGATCGATGTTGCAAGTTGCAAACTTTAGAATGTTGACTGATTGAGACAATATATGCAACTTTTTCTTTGCAATTTTTGACTTTGCTGATACATTTCCAGCCAGGTTAACCCCATCACATCCATCATCAAACCAATTCATCTTCATCAATACAAAGACACAGATTAAGTTGTTGGACCCATCATCAAGCAGTCATGGATGTTTTTGAGCCGAGGGGTTCCAAGGCTTTAAACAATTTCCTTTCTCAAAATTGGTAGATGGAAAAATAATGTTGCGAGAGAATTATATCTCATTATCATACGTTCGAAAATAATGTTATCAAATCACTCACTACCCTATATAATCAACACATTTATGCTCACGAAATCTGCTATATACAAAAACACTTCCTTAGTTTGGCAACGGTGGTGTACACATGCCAAGCTATTATCACTCCATATTATGAAAATCTGCTATACATATAAACACTATCTTATTTCGACAATAATGATGACTGCATGCGAGGGTTTTGTTAATCTGCATTCAACAAAAATAAAAAGGTAAAGAAAAGTTATTATAAACTAATGTAAATGTACTTCCCTTTTGAATGTGGAATTAATGAATGTTTTTTTTGTCTTTTAAGTATATCAACAACTCTCTTTCGAACACCTTCCCCGTCATCTCGTAGACCAAAATATCATCAAGTAATAAAATTTATTATCTTGGTTTTTAATGTAAATGCTATTTTCATTTCTTCTTGAGTACAATATTAATTAATGTGGATGCATTACTATAATTTATGTTATCAAACCTACCAAACACAAGGCATATTCTATCAAAGAAATTTTAAATAAATGAAAGCATATACTAAGAAAGTTTCCTGTTTCCAGAAGCCTCATATTTGTAGTTAAATAAGATTTTACCTATTTTCTTCATTACGTATCCCTTGAGATTTATAATCAGAAGGGCATTAAGTCTAATGTTGGTAAGTTTCGAAAACGGCTAAATTTGATACGTGATGTGGAGAACAGCTACCTTAATTTAAACATTATTAAATTCATCCAAGTTAAACAAATCAAAGTAAAGTTATAAATTAAGGTTGTCGTTATCATATGAGATTAGATTTTTCCTTTTTTTTAAATGACTCTATATCTCGAACACACATGAATTCTATCTTTGTCTTAGCTGTTTTTTTTTCTTTTAAAAAAATATTATATATTTGGCTAGATATGTCAAAACCAAAATTATCTTTTAATTGTTATTAAAACGAAATAAATTTTGGTCAGATTTGCGGTAGTCAAATTTATATATTAAATAAATTATTGGTCTAATAATATTTTTATCCTTTTAAATTTGTTAAAGAGATATTTAATATTTTGTCTCGGCCTGAAATTTTTAATTTCTATCAAATTAAATTAATTGATAAAAAATAACAAATGGGGTTTTTAATCATAAATAACAAACGTGTTAAATTAACGTCTAATATTATCTTTTTATCAATGCTAACATCAACTAATTTGTTTTATTTTGTTTGCATAAAAATTCAAAATAAAGAAATATTTAAAATGTACAATAAAATATTTAAAATTGTATATTAATGTATTTAAATTATTAAAAATCATATATTAATATTAAAATATTAAGTTATTAATTGTAATGTCATGTTAGGTTTAGGACAAGAATCAACCTGGAAATTGAGACAAATACAGTAGGTTTAGGTTTGAGGAAATTTCCCAAACTTTGGCAAAGAAATGAAATGAGCTGTCTCGTCTTTGTTTTGTCTGCCTGTGTCAAGATAGTCAAGTTTCCAAATATTAACACGTTGTTTTTTTATATATAAATATTAACCTATCAAGTATCCCTTAGTAGGTTAAGGAAGTGTTATTTTTTTCTATAAATCTTAAGTTCAAACAATTACATTTATAGAATGTGTATATAATCAACAACTAAAAGATATTATAAACCTACATTATCTTATAATTACATATGTTATTATATATATATATATAAAAGTTTGCATCATTTCCTGTCATAGTTTCCATTTCCAATATTGCGATATATCTTTCTACATTACTCAATTATCCTTACAACTTGTATAAGTATAACGTAAAATTTAAGTATAATTTCCTATAACTCATACTAAGTAATTCAATTATTAAATTTTAGCATAAACCAAATTACTTCCCTGATTAAAGTGATGATTGTTATCTGTAGATATCTTAGGTTTGAGTATCAGAGTCTAAAAAGATGTTTGAACTTTCATTGTCAAATGATTAAGGATACTTAAAAAAACTATTACATTGTAATCACTCTAGGTTAATAAAAAATGTATTAAATCTTAAATTGCATTCACGTAATTATGTATACATAAATATGATATAAAATTGATGACAAATTATTATTACAACAATAAATATAATATTATTTTACGATCACACATTGCAAATAAAAATAATTATATTAATAAAAATATATAAATAAATATAATTATTTAGTTTTTGGATTCATTAATTGATTAGTATCATATTATATATAAATACCAAAAATTATATTTACCGAAAAAAAAGGATGCGAGAGCTTCAAAAGGCGAAGTAGACTAGGCCCAAAATTTTGCAGTAAATACAAACCCCGTTGGCATTTTGTGTTTTCAGGTGCTATAACTTAACTATCTACTAGCCCACTGTAAATGGTGCTGTTTTTTGGTTATTAATATTTGTAATAAAATCATAAATATTTTATGTTAAAATAAAATTTTGATTAAGAGATTAAACAATTTCATTCTTATCTCTCGAAAAAATTACTTTGGTACCCTAATTTTTTGTTTTAAATTTTAATTTGAATATCATACAAAATATAAATGATAAAAGATGAAATCTATACATTATAGACAAAGAGTAAATATATAGTTGAAAAACATAGATTTATCACATTTAAATTTATACTTGAAATTTCAAAATTTTAATTAAATAGATATCTAATAAATCTATATAGTTAAAAATAATATTAAAAGTTATAATAGAAAGAAAAATTCATGTTCAATGTTTTACGTTTGAGCAAAGCCGTAAGGAGATTGGAAAAACCGGATACTGATTCTTTTATATCATCAAAGGGGAGCGTTTAATATCCAAATATACTCCTAAACTTGATTAAATAATAATAATAAATAAAGATTTAATGACAAAATTATAGTCATATTTAAAAGCAATAACAGCTTAAGATATTAATCAAGCAGGAGGAGAAATTTGAGAAGCCCAAGTGAAAAAGAAAAGCAGAAATGGGCATATGAGCCCAAGAGAATATCCATAAATCGTTTTGGAAGACCCCAATACGATCACAGAGACAATGTTGAATCGTCTTTCTTTCAATCTTCATCTTCTCGTTTGTTGTAGGGTTTATGATAAAGTTCTAACGATCCATTTCATTCACATTTTTGCTTACCAAATTTGACTCTTCTCTTGATTCCGTGCAGATTACCGTGTCAGGTAAGATACCACAGTTTCATATGGCAATTGCTTTTCTTTACAATTTCTTTATTCCTATCCGTACCAATTCTGACGAAAATCAAATTTAGGGTTTGTGCTCGAAGCATTCGTTTCATTCTCAAACCCTTCCGACGTAAAATGCGTGTTTCTGGTTGATTTGGTACGCGAAATTTAATTTAATTTTACAAATGGTAATTCTAATTCAAGTTAATTTCCATTTGTTTATTCTTCATAATTTTAGCATTAGACACATGACCCAATGTTCTTAAATTTTCTGATTGTAAGTTTAGAAGAATGATGGCATTAGCCGAAGATTTATGCGTTTACCAATTTGTATTGAAATTCGCATTTTGTAGGGGTGGCATTAGCTGAAAATCACAAATGAACTCGATGTATTAATAAATCTTACAAGTGTTTATACATATACGATAAAGTATATAGTTTGTTGGTCATACATTGATATATGATTAATCCTTTGCTCAACCATTATTTTGTTTATCAATGTCAATCAGTACGTTTTGAAACTGTTTCTGGAAAGCACTGACAATGTATTGAACTTTTATCAGTAAGGTAGCTTGTGATTTTTCATGCAGGGCTGATTGAAGTATTGTTCGGTCTGAATGTGTGTACATTTTAGTTATAGATGCCTAGATGGATACTGAAGTCGGTCAGCCAAAACACGAGCGGTCAAGAACAAGGTGGACAGCATCCCTTGATAGGATATTTGCAGACTTGGTAGTGAAGCAAATTCAATTAGGAAACAGACCGAATAATGTTTTCGACAAGAAAACATGGAATACCATACGTGATGAGTTTAACAAGGAAACAGATCTCAACTTCAATAACAATCAGTTGAGGAAGCACCTGGATGTTCTGCGGGCGCGCTTCTATAACCTCAAATCAGCTTATGATCAAAATGACTTTGCTGCTATGGAGGACTCCTGTTGCATCGGGTTTGACCTGTGGGAAGAAATCGGGGTATGTTTCCTTTCAACTATCTTTGTTCTGAACACTTCAATTGTCTGTTTCTGATGGATAGTTTTACACTTACAGGCACAGGCTAGACCCAAGCCAGTTAAAATCAAGGACTGTCCCATATATGACCAACTTTGCACAATATTCACCGACTCATCTGCTGATGGGAAATATGCCCAGTCAAGCCACTTTGAGGGGTTGGACAAAGTTGTTGGAAATGATACCAGTAGCTTAACTTCATGTCCAGATGGAGCATCCACACATACTGATAATCCATCAACCTCAAGATTAGCCCAAAACAATTTGTTGCCAGAAAAGTTGATTGAGAGTATTCCGGAGAGAAAAAGAAAAAGACCATCTGAGGCACAACATTCTTTGGATCAGAGCATAAAGGGGGAAGAAATGTCCGAGGCTATGGCAGGAGCCATGCTAGCTATGGTTGCTGCTTGGAAGTCAAGGTGGACATTTGTCACAAAACGAAGTGAAAACAAATTTAGCATAACTAATTGCATTAAAGCATTGGATGAAATAGAAGACATAGAAGAGTGGCTCTATTTTGCAGCTCTTGACCTCTTCGAACATCTCAACTTAAGGGAAACGTTTATTTCGTTAAAAAGCAGCAAGATAAGGCTAACCTGGTTGAAAGGGAAGTGCAAGAAACCTCCAATGACATCTGTCCAGGGTATGGGCTGAATCTTTGGCTCTTTTGAAAATGTAAAGATCTTTACTGCAATTGTTTAGTCTTAGGTAGCTAGTTTGTTCATACATTGGCTACATAGTGCATATCGATAGATGAGATGTTCTAGTTATGGGGTTATCGATGCGCACAGGCATGTATGTGTACATTTATTTTTGCAAATAGTGGAATCATGCTTTGGCATTGGTTGGATGTTAGTACAGTATTGCTGTTATTCTCTTTTTTTAGGGCGGCAACCCACAGTGCGGAAAGCCAATATCAACGATTTTACCTGATTTCTACTGAGCATCAGCACGGAAGAAATGAGCAGCTCTTAAGATGTAGGGCTTGTTTTGGTTTAGGTTCAGGCCATGCATTGATTAAGCTAATGCAGCAGTTGAGAAATGTGGAAACCAAGGCTTTGGGAAAACCCTTACCTCACATGTCTTCCCTTTTTCCTTCATGCTTTCTTATCTTTTGCCCAGTGTCCAACTCTTGGGGTCTTATTATTTTGGGTTTTCGAATTGTTACATTTTTGCTCTTTGCACCAACATTTTTGGTTGCTTCGAATTTACTCAGAACATGCCAGGCTTTGAGAGGAATGGATATACATATCCCTGTCCTTTTCGTGATAAACGTCCAAAGCAATAGTTAGTATCATTATTTTTCATCGTTTAAAGCATACTCATGGTACTATTCTAAATCCCATACCTGAATCACTAGTAAAGTTTGCCTATATATCTTATGACACATAAGTATCTCGTTTATTAGAACAATTATGACATTTTATTATTACTTACTTAAACAAGACTAGAATTTCTAATGAGATAAGTTACTATGTTTTTTTTAAATAAGATTCACGGTTTGAATTCTAGTGTTGTGAAAGGAACAAATTGAATTAGGAGAATTATTCTCGTAATGGATCTCTATAATATTTAATCTGAATTAATCGATTGATACATTGAAGATTAGTCATTGTTAAGAAAATAATTTTATTTCATAAAGAAATCGAAAGCTAAGAATAAAATAACATATTACACGTGTTAAAATTTAAATTTAAAATATTTTTTTATTAGTATGAGGTGATTACAAGATAATATTTGTTCAGAATTTTCTTAATCAATTAATAATGCATACACACATCATGCGAACACAATTACTTGAATCTAGAACCTCTTGAAAAAAAATACCAATAAAATTACTTAATAAATTGAAATTTGAAACATTTTAAATTATACAAATGATAATTAACGTATATTTTGGTTCATATTCAAGGTCATATATATTTTGAAATGTCTCATTTTATTAAAACCAACTAAAAAACTTGAATTCAAGTATTCAATTTACGAAAATTTTAAATTCGATTTATGGACTATTCCTACCATTATTATAAAGTAAATTTTGGTTGGTAAATTATAAGAAATGATTGAAAACCAAAATCTAGGACCTTTTTGCACTATAATAAAAGGTGGGTTGAGAGTAACATTATCAATATGATTATGCCAACGACTTGAAAAATGTAGGCCATTATTAATTGGCATCATACTTGTTTGTTACATTTTTAATATTGCCAAAATATCGGGGGGGGGGGGGGTTCATTTTATTAATTAAAATTACATAAATAAAATAAAATATTTTTTTAATCAAATGCAAATTCGGTCATGAAATTTGAAAGTGCAATTAGGTATCACTCTCTCTTTATTTTATCCTCTTTTGATTTCTTTCTCTCAAAAGTCTTGCCTCTCTCTATCCGCTTCACCCGACTTCTTAACGGTTAGTCGTTGGATACTAGCGGAGGTGATTTTACAGTTCGCCGGAGATCTACTCTAAAGCACATTTATAATTTACTTGAAATCTTCTACTCTATCGACCATTGCCTCCAGTGCTTTGGATTAAATCCCATTTCCAGATTTTAGTTGAGCTTCGTTTTTTGAAAAATCTCTTTAAAAGGTATCGATCGCGCTGCCATTTTCCCTCTGTATGCGGTGATTGATTCGGCATCCACCGAGATCAATGTTTCATCTGGCATTGCATTGTTGATAAGTATATTTTATTTGGATTTTTTTTGGTTCTTAAAAACCTTTTTTATTATCATTTTCTAGTTTCCTGCTTATGAATTTCGTCTTTTTCGTTGTTTAATTTATTTACCGAGCTCCATAATGTTGCATTTCTCTCCTACGATTTCTTCATTTGCAATGCTTCTCTGTTCGTTGCGTTGGATAACTTTTGATTGTTCCGTGCAGTACCTAGATTTATTGGAGTTGATTAGTTGAATCATTGTGGTTTTTGAACCTTGTAACATTACGTTAGTCTTACGCCTCTGTTTGGTTGCTCAGAAAACTGAGGGTAATGGACATTCCTAGCAGGTTTTATGCTGTTTTCTTTTCTAGTACCTGACAATTCTCGCTCAACTAAGTTTTTTAGAGTATTTCCTCAAGTGGTTAAGACGATCTCGAACCATTAGCTCATAAGATTTTAGATCCTTTTAGTATAGTTTTTACCCCTTTGATTTATGGGGCCAAGAAATTTTCAAGTTTTAACTTTGATCATGTCTTGTTTGACTGGGATTTATAGCATATTTTGGTTGTGAGAACTGGAAGGGTCCTCCTATTTGGGAATTCATTGAGAAAAGAATTAAAGAGAAAGAGAATAAACTTAGGTAGCAATTCTCAGCTACCATTTTGTTGGTTTTGTGTTACGCGAGATTATGGTTGAGACTTGTGCAATACTTGGTTAATTGAGTACATTCCATAGACTGCTCATGTTTTCTGGGATTTATAATGCTGATTTTGTTACTGACTTTTAACTTCAAGAAGTATTTTCTTTTGTCAGGAAGTAAACAAAATGATTGGATCCCTTCTTACCAGAGGACTCGTGTATGTCTTATCTTACAACTGATTCTCTTTCTCATTTTAGTTTCAGTTTATTCTTTTACTTGAATTGAATCTTTTTTTTCTTTTAAATATTTTGACAGGATGGTTTTTGGTTATGCTTATCCAGCATATGAATGTTATAAGACCGTTGAATTGAATAAGCCTGAGATCGATCAACTGCGGTTTTGGTGCCAGTACTGGTAGGTCTTTGTGAAGATTGTGCACGGAGAAGCATTGCAATGTTATTTATGCTGTAACTTTTCTTTTGTCCTGTCTTTCCAATCTTTTTTCTGGTTTCAGGATATTGGTGGCTGTTTTAACAGTCTGTGAGCGAATTGGTGATACTTTCATTTCATGGTAAGGGATAATAAAATGAGAAGGATGTGTTAAACTGTTAATGTATGTTTTTTATTTTCTCACCGTGTTCCTGCTTCGCATTTTGAAGGGTTCCAATGTACTGTGAAGCTAAGTTGGCATTCTATATATATCTTTGGTACCCTAAAACTAGGTAGGTGTACTATCTTTTAAAGAAATTCTAATAACATTTACACCACCAACTTAGTGTTGATTCTTGTTTTTAACTGGCCCTCTGTTTTCATTTATGTCAGGGAACTTCTTATGTGTACGACTCTTTCTTTAGACCATATGTTGCTAAGCACGAAAATGAAATTGACCGTAACTTGTTGGAACTAAGAACTAGAGCGGGAGATATGTCAGTTCTTTACTGGCAAAGGGCCGCAAGCTATGGCCAGACTAGAATTTTTGAGATCCTTCAATATGTTTCACAGTCAACCCCAAGACCTCAACATCCTCAGGTATTTATCGAATTAAAACCAATTGTATTTGGTGCTGCATTGCCTCCTCTTTGTGCATTGCAAGCAACAAACTTAGTTTGGTTAAACCTCTCATTATCATGCATTAAACTGACTATACAGAATACAGATGTAATGGTTGTATATTAGTTGAATGTATATAGTAGTTGAAAAGTAATTAATCTATGCCAGATTTCATTTTTGTACTGATTCAATCGTCTTGAAGTTTATATTCTTTTCTACTTAACTTCTTAATTCTCAGGCACAAGGTACTAGGGCTTGCCAACCCTCTGGTGCTCCTAAACGTCAAGCATCTATTAAAGAACAATCAGCACAATTCAGTGCTAAACAACCGGCATCACCAACATCTAGCACCTCTTCAAGTCAACACCAAAAGGAAGTAGCTGAAGACGTGTGTCCATCTAAGGTTCCTTCACAGTTGGCTAAACCACGTACCTGTTCAGCATCCTTAAGTTCAACGTCCTTAGATAGCCAGAAAGTAGATACTGCATCCGAACCAACCAGCCAACCTGCGGAAACTGAAAAAGAAGCAAAGCGAACTGAATCACTGCCACCACCTCCAGAGGATGAAGATGCGAACCCTCCCCCAAAAGAGACTCTCATGGAAGAAAGCATTCGACTCACGCGCGGTAGATTAAGGAAAACCCGATCTGCAGCCCAATAAAATAATGACATTAGTTCTTCTTCCAGATTAGTAGGCATAGAATGGTACTGAATAATTTTTTATTAACACTGATGTAAATTTCTTGTCTTCTTCTAGTTTTGATTACAGTTGTTGAATTGTTACTTTATTTGTTCAAATAACTTAATATCACGGGTCCTTGTTATCAATTGTCCAACTACTGCTTTCATTTGCTTTAAACCACGCTGCTGCTTTATCATAAGTAGGTGGGCTTTGGTATATAATCGGTCAATTGGGTTAAAAAAATTAATTTTAAGCTAAAGGAGTAAATGATTAAAATTCTGATTTGGTATCTCAAGATTATAACAGTGACAGTGATATCTGCTGCCCCATGAAATTGGCTATCATTATTCATTAACAAACTCTTATTAAATTATTTATTAATTTATGATTGCTGTAATAAATAATAATGCAATTCATTGCTTGCAACTTTTAAGAGTTCACAACAACGTTTGTGCAAACTAATCTTATATTCAACCCGTGCTGTGACTATTTTTAAAAAGAATTTAAAGTTAGAATTGTATTATTATGATAAAATTATGCGAATTTGTGTGACGAAGTAAATTATGATTAAAAAATTAACAATAATATATATATATATATGAATGTGTTGAAATTTATATAAAATAAATCGTAAACCCATAAAAATATAATACAATAACTTTTAATTATATAAATTAATTTCATGAACTATGCTAGTATGAATATCAATTGAATTATACAAGTATATATTTGTTCTGATTTACTTATTTATTTTTTCAAGTCGTAAAGACAACGAGTCAACGACAATAGTGACGGAAAGGATTTTCGGCCTGAGAGATCCTTCCTTTAGGCCCAGGAGATGACAAAACCATAAACTCTTACAAGTTTTATTAAGGTTAAATTGTGTTATTACTCCCTCTAGTATATGTAATATTATAGATTTAATTTGATATTTCATTAATATTTTTATGCTACGAGAATTAATCCTCCACATCTCGGGCCTAATTCAACTTTGGACGACTGAAAATGAGTTTTCAGTTTCTTTTAGCGGGAATCTCGCTCGACCAAAGTCACGGGGCATATCCGTCAATGAAACATCAAGAATATAACACCTAAACAGAAAAGCATAACATATAATTTAGGTCATATTTTGATTTCCATCCTTTTATTTTAACATAAATTTAATATTTAATCCCTATAATTTGATTATCTATTTTTTCTGATAAAATTATATTTTTTCACTTTTATATTGTTAGTCTAAACAGTGGATATTATTAACCATGTTTGTTAAAGTAATTATTAATATTTTAAAAAAATACAAATGGTTTGATTGAAATGTTAACACTGGACTTGTGTTGTTATCAACCTTTAGGGGGTGTTTGGTTCAAATTTCCATGTTTGGTTGGTCGGGAATCTCATTCTCGGTAATGTTTTATTATCAATAGTAGATTTTTTGGGTATATTACCGTGAATGTCATTACCTCCCTTCCCTTAGGTATTGCAACATTACCGGTGTTTTGGATTAAAATGCCCTTAAATTTTATTTTTTTTTCAAAAATATCCTTATTCTGTCATTGAATAATAAAAATTCTACGAATGTTAAATTATAAATTTATCCTTAAATTATTTTTGATTTACAAAAAAAATCTATAATTAAAATTTTATATGAAGTTAAGGGGTTAAATTTTTTTTTACCCTTTCATTAAACCTTTTTTATATTTTTAATTTTGTATAAAAAATATATAAATATTATGAATTTAATGTTTTAAAGAAAATATATAAATATTTTACAATTTGTAATATTATACAAATATATAATAAGGATAATTTGGTCAAATATACATTCCAATAATATTTTATTCATTTAACCAAACACGTTAATCTTATATTCCTGCTAAACCAACCAAGCACAAAATACAACATTCCCAGTAATCCTATTCCCTGGTAATCTTTTATTCCCACTGGTAATCTTACATTCCGTGAACCAAACGCACCCTCAGATCACATCTAATTCCGGGGTCAAACTCCTGCCCCTCAATTACTAAAAACAAAATACATTAACTAAATTGTAAATTTAAGTATAGTATAGGGATCAAAAACCGGAATTTGACCAATAATTATATTTTTCATGTCGGTGTTCTTGTCCCGCAAGAACTCACCAATTAAACAAATTTATTACCCGATCTGTGGCTGAAACAGCACCAGATCCAGGCTACCCATTTTTGTTAATTAACTTTCTCTTTAACTAATCAACCCTGTTTCTAAACCACATTCCCTCGCACTTTGCTCTGCATCAGATTCTTTTCCCCTGCATTTCTCTTTAGCATATCTGATGTTCAATGCGTATGTTTTGATCTAGATCCCAAGTAGAAGACTGTGTTTTTTTTTGAAGTCACAAAACAATGGGGGGAAAATCAAAATCCAGATGATTTCTGGGGTGGTTTCTGGTGTTAGTAATATTGGTCTGGTTGTGGGAGCTGTTGTTTATACAATAAAGAAGAAAATGGATGACAAAAAGGATAATAAGCCAGCTCCCGTTCCAGGTCCTCCAGGCGCTATCGACTAGAAGTATTTTGATGCTCTCAAAATCGCAATGCAATTCTTTGACGTTAAAAATTGTACCCTTTCTTTACCCTCTCATTCTTATTAAAATTTGCTTCCTTTTAGGATACCCTTTAACTTATGGATTCGGATTCAATGTTTAGTACTTAAAACAAGTGGTTTATTGTAGATATTATTTGTAATTTTCGACTGCTTATGTTTGGTTCTTTTGTTGGTAAAATTTATCTTAGATGTGCAAGTGTTGCTTGTTTGTTGTTGTTCCTTGAGTCAAACATTTCTTGTTTGTTGTTGCAGCTGGTAGGTTAGAGGATAATAAGATATCATGGAGAGGAAATTCGGCGTTAACGGACGGAAGGGAAGCGAAATTTGATCTATCTAAAGGGATGTATGATGTTGGGGATCACATGAAATTTGGATTCCCAATGGCATTCACTGCTACTGGGCTATCGTGGGCTATGCTCGAGTACGGCGATCAGATGGAGGCGGTCAATCAACTGGAACCGGCTCAAGAATCGCTCAAGTGGATAACCGATTCCCTTATCAATGCTCATCCTTCGGAGAATGTGCTCTATATTCAGGTTATCATTGTCTTTAACTGCCATCTAATCTTTTGGTTTGGTGTAGCTATATGTAGTACAAAAATGTCTGCTTGATTGCATTTAAATTGTTCTTGCTTGCTTCATCGTGCCTTAGTCAATTTATGTTTTGGATTATCCGATTGGCTAAGGTTTTAGATCAGGAACATGTTGGATTTTGGGTTTATGTTTCTGGTGATGTAGTGATGGGTTGCCATGAAATCATGAGATGAGTTATGTTGTCATCATGAGAAACCTTGTGGCGCTTCTGGATTTGTATTGTGAACCATACTTTTCTGGAATCTGATTGTACAATCCTGTGAAAAAAAGGCTCTGGAATATTTCTAACCTCTTACATTTTTACTTCCAAAACTGAGGCAGGTCGGTGACCCTGAAGCAGACCACAAGTGTTGGGAAAGGCCTGAGGACATGAAAGAGAAGAGGCCTCTCACACAGGTGAATGAATCCCGTTCCTGGGACTGAGGTTGCAGCCGAAACTGCTGCAGATATGGCTTCAGCGTCACTGGTTTTTAAGGCAGCTGACTCAACATATTCAAGCACACTTCTTAGACATGCGAAGCAACTTTTTAGTTTTGCAAACAGTAATAGAGGTTCTTACAGTAAGAACATACCAGAAGTTGCTACGTATTACAATTCAACAGGATACGGAGATGAGCTCTTATGGGCAGCAAGCTGGCTCTATCATGCAACAGGCGATCAATCATATCTCAGATATGTGACCGGTGAAAATGGGAACCAGTTTGCTCAATGGAGAAGTCCTTCCTGGTTTAGCTGGGATAATAAACTTGCAGGAACCCAGGTAAGGTTCTCTTTTAAAGGAATTTGAAGCAAGATCGTAGCCTCTTGTTTTCCGTTTACATCTATATACATAGACATGTCTCAAGCATCATGATGATATAAGAAAGACTTTAAGTGAAAATAAATAGATATCATTAGCTTGAATTCATTTCTGGTACGGCTTGTTTGAATTCCATCGATTGTTTCTCATTTGTAAAGATGCTAAAGAAAAGAGCTTCTTTGGAAGGTTTACAGCATTTCTTTAACCTCCAGGCGTTTAATTGAAGGACTATTTGAAGGAAAGTAATTCTCATTTGTTAACCAGCCAAAGCTAAAGGCAACTACTGTAGGATATCTAGCCTCGTTTGTCAGATTGAGCATGTTGTGCTTGTTTGGTGGCCCACATTTTAATTCTCTGAGTAGATCATCAGAACCATTAATCTTACATAGTATTATTTTATTTTTCTTTGAATATAGTGTCTGATTATGTTACATGTATGCAGGTTTTGCTTTCCAGGTTAAGCTTGTTCGGTGCCAAGGGTGCCTCTGGGAATTCCGGCCTTAAAAACTATAGGAAGTCTGCCAAGGATGTTATGTGTGGTCCTCTACCTAAGTCTCCCTCAGCAACATCCAACAGAACTGATGGTAATGTCTTCTTTAAAACTAAGTTACCTGGATTCATATTTTTGCTATGTAGATCGTGAATCTGACAAAACGAAGAGGCTCAAAGAAAGTTTATTACCGAACCAAATGATTTTAGACTTGATAAATCAACATAGTAATTGATGGTTACCCTTCAACTCAAAAATCTGTATTCTTTATACTTCTTTCGATTGTAAATGTTAATGCCCGACCTTTATTTACCATACTTCACTTTTCTTTCCGGGGAATTACATATACTCTCAGATCACCTAAGTCGCAAATAAACTGAATTAGCTTGGATACTTTGGATATCGTTTGTTTACTGCTCTAGTCTTTCCGATGCAGGTTGTCTTATATGGGTCAGTGAATGGAATTCTCTGCAGCATCCGGTTGCTTCTGCATTTTTAGCTGCTCTTTATAGCGATTACATGCTTACGTCACAGACGGTGAAGCTAACCTGTGGTGACCGTTCATTCAAACCATCGGATCTTAGAAAGTTTGCCAAATCACAGGAATGATGTTTATGTAAAGACGCAACCAAATATTAGCAATATTTGTCATAAAGTGTTACTCCGGTGTAGTGACTACTATAATAATAACAATCTTTGCTTCCAGGCTGATTATGTCCTAGGCAGTAACCCCTTGAAGATGAGCTTCCTTGTGGGGTACGGCGATAAATACCCACAATACGTGCATCATAGAGGAGCTTCGATTCCGGTGGATGCCACCACGGGTTGCTCCGATGGCTTCCAGTGGCTAACTTCACCCAATCCCAATCCTAATGTAGCTATTGGAGCTCTTGTGGGAGGGCCTTTCCTAAATGAAACATTCACTGATTCCCGGAACAACTCGATGCAAGCGGAGCCAACCACATATAACAGTGCACTCATTGTTGGCCTCCTTTCGAGTTTGGTCACCACATCTTCTACAATTAGATCCTTCACTTAAGAAGTAGACATAGTCTGATTACATATTTGTTTTGTACTATATAGGCAGCTGTATCAATACTTTGTTTTATTTGTTCTGAAGTGTCCGCTGAAAGTTGAGGTCTCTGCTGGTTGTTCCCTGTTTCATTGATCTGCAACCTCCTTTTGTTGAAACTTGAAAGCAATTTAACACCAAAATTTCAAGAAAAGAAAAACAACAATAATAATTTAAAAAAAAAAGATACATAACTAGAAATCACCGACTTAAAGAAGCTAATATGATCACTGTCACTGTTCTGTCCTTGTCAAGTTCTAATTAAATAAAACAAACAAAAATGATTTCACAGGTTCAAAATTGCAAACTTTAACTGCAAACTGGACCTTGTCTTTGGAGCTTTGCATCTACATTTGGGCTTTTAGTTCGGTTTGTAAATGGTCTAGGGGTTTAATTTGGATTATTATTTAGACCCGAGTTTGTAATATAAAACAAAATATTTATTCTATTTTATTTTGAGCTTCTAAATTAAAATGGATCAAATAAAAATGAATAGAGTCGAATAAAAAAACAGACCAAAAAGATAGAACCAGTAAAACGGGCTAGAACAAAATAGGAAATGGACCGGATAAAAATATACTGTTACACATAATACTTTCCCCGTAGTGTCACATATGTTATAATTTGAGACGAGTTTAATTTGCTATAATGATATGTGCACGCTATTTAATGCACTTGTGTTCTATGATGTTTTTTATGACGTGCGAGAGCGTTGTTAATGGTTAAGAACGATTATAAACATATATTAAATTTATGAGGTGACTTCAGTGGTCAAGGAAAATATTGTTATCCTTAGAGGTCATGATTCGAGCAGCTGCATCTATAAGGTGTGTGCGTTGTTCATGGTTAAGAAAGATTTTGAACAAATACTAACTTGAAATCACCACAAATTATTAAAAAATATATGAACATATGTTACTTTGTAATCACCCAAACTATTAAAAAAATCCGTTCAAATAAATGAGTTGTATCGATCTTATAACTTTATAATTTCAGTAGAGATTAATTAGCTAATTATTTTACTATGATATTGAATTCACTTATGTTCAGGCCCTAAAAGATGAAACTACCATTGTGTCCATATTTCCATCACCTATGCATTATGTAGGTCCAATCCAACATTGGCATTCCAATGCGAGAGTAAATGCTGGGGCTAATTTCTATTTGGTTGGTCGTGATCCTGCTGGTATGGGTACAGTGGGATTTGTATGATCCTGGTCATGCTAACGTATATGCTGCTTTAATCATAATTGGATATACTATATGCATTCATCATATCAAGTCCACCAAGTATGTCATTTCCAATTGTTTATATTGATGACGCTATCCTTTTGTTAGATCTGCTATTAGAGATGGTAATAGGTCGAGACAAGACACTTGTTTGGTCATTCCAATCTTGATTCAACATATTAATCTCTAAATTCAATCTGATGTAGATATTAATTTATTCATCTCAATCTTACTTGATCTATTAACTCTTAAATTTAATTTCGACTCAATTTGACCTTATAATACTGAAAAACTTTAATCTTCTTCGACGACAAAAGTTAAATTCGACCAATCCGTCATCACATTTTTTTAAATACGAGTTTCTATCATGGAAAGATGTCTCAAGAGAGTATAACCCATAAAAAAACAAAACAGAACCATTTAAATCAATCGCATGAAAAAAATGAGGGAAAGAAATAACCTGTTTATATATACATGATAACATTTTTATAAATATAATAAAAGTATTTTAGATCGGATCGGATTGAATAATGTTCATTCTAAACCTAAACACTCTCGATTCTATTATCCCAAAAATCATTTTAAACTCGAATTTTAAAGAAAAAAATTGTTTTTATCGAGTCTAGACCGTATGAGTCTTGGATAATTTTACCATCTCTATTTGCAATGTATGAGCAACTCTCCTTGATCACGCGGTGGTTCTAATTTTGCAGAATATTCAACCTGGTCCTTCAATATATCTTAACAAATGCCGATAAGCAGCACCATAATCTTAATCAATACTATTTGTGTTGCCACTCGACCAAAAGTGCAATCTGAATCATTTGACAATAAACGCTCTCAAATATGAAGGCTCGTGGTTAGGACGTCCCATAGCACAAGAAACCAGCTGGCTTGGACCACTTCCAGTGTAAATCTTGGACCCTGAAATAGGCCACCAAAACATGTTTAATAATCACAGAGTCGACCATCAACCGAAACATTACCATTTATTGTTCCCTTTGATAATACACACCACGTGTGCTCCATTTTCACGTTTAATTCCAACGTACTATCCGTAAAGTCCTCGCCATTCCCGTTCAGGCGTTCACAGCCACGCTTACATTCTCATTTTCAAAAAGTTTGTGCTTTCGTTTCCCTTGCTTAAATGTGTGGCTTTCAAACTCCATCCATGTACACATCCTCTTATTTTCCTCAATTACAGTACATCACATCGCTCTCTAGTTCAGTAAATATTCCTTTTATCTAACTTAAAAAGCACGTGAGAGTTAAACTAATAAACATAGATTTTGTGTCAGAGGTGAACTTAAAAGTTTTAGGAAGTTTAAAATTTTCAGCGGGAAGGATCACCTCCACCAGCTTCCTTCAATCTATCCTTGAATGTTTAGCTGCTTAGGAACGTACGTTGATGATAGAAACATCGGCCATGACAATGTGCTTTAACAATAACGATATTAATTGAACTAAAATTCAGTCTATCTGTGGATCTCAAATATATGTAGTAAAAAGGAGGGGAAGGTTTGCAAAAAGGATATAGAAAAAGACAGGTTGAGAAAGCATATAGTGAACAACGATTTTGGGTGGAAATTAAGACAGCCGCTGCCTCTACCTATTTTGTGGACCTTAGAACATGAAAAAAATAAAAATAAACATAAGTGGCAGTCATTTAATTTTAAAATATATTTACTTTTTTGATAATGACCATGCTCATATTTGGTAGTTCGATCCAAGGACCACCATACCCAAATTCATATATATTCACATACCACGGCATCTTCAACAACTTGTTTTACTTTTTTTGGTTTCAAATAAATTATATTAAACATTATAGGGATAATTTAACTGTATTTTAACAAAATATTTAACTGACAAACAAGATTGTCTACCACTATAAAATCACCCTCCTTAGCATAGTCTAAAAATCCGACGAGATATTAAGAGAATACACAAAGAGGTCTTTTAGGGTCAATCACTATAACTGTGACCTATCAAATGAGTGGACAATATCTATATACATATCCAGACTTTGTCATGAACCCCTCAAGTATGCCCCGATAGACATACGATAATAAATAAATGTGATATTAAAAAATTAACAACCTAATTTGAAATGTGATTATCGATGATGACTCTAATACCATGTGAAATTTACTACTTCTAAGGATACAACGAAGGACTAAGACGATTGAAGATGATACAATGAAAGACTAGATTGATTATGGAGGATACGACTGAGAACTTAATATAACAGTTAAGAAACTTCGAAGGATATAGCAAAGAATTTTCAACAATCAAAGTTAAATCACTACACTGCAAAAAAAAATATTCAAATGTATCTTTATATAACTTTATCACTAATTTAACTAATTATCTAACTGTTGCTAACTAACATAACAAACTAATATGAATCTAAATATTTAAAGATTCATAACCTCAACTTTTGTCAATTTTACCGGTGCCTCATTGGCACCAACTCATTAAATTTTAGATGTGAACCTAATTTTTATGGCCAAATTTCTTTCCTTTTCTTTGTGATGATTAATGAAGTAGGAACATCATACCTGGAAATGTGGTGTCACTTATGGATATGCACTTTAAATCTCTAGGTTTGTCGATAATCCATGCAAATTAATGTTAATGATCAGAATTGAGAAACATCTCGTAGAAATAATTGGAAAGAATGATATATAATTTTTGAAGCAACAAAAAGTAAAAATTAAAAGAAAGAAAGAAAGGATAATAATAATTGTAAATCAAATTAAAAGGAACAGTGACATGTGCAATTGAAAACTGTAGTTGAAGTGAGCATGGGATCATGTCTCGACGCATCTCTTCATCTGCCTAATTTTCAATTATGTGTGGTCCTATACTGGTACGTACTGTGCTTTTTAGGCACAGGGGAAAGCAAAAAATGAAATTAGAGGGGCAAAACATATTTTAATCTCGAATATTATTTTTAAACGTAATTATATGAGTCAACTTATCTAAATTTTTAACGTAGCAAACATGAGTTAATATTCAAATGGTAGAAATCAATATGGTTTTCAAAATTAGGGTAAATTACATTTTTGTTTTCATCATCAAATTATTAATATTAATTTTAGCCTTCAAAACTTATATATATTTTTTATAAAGTAATTTTAGGTTTTTATATGTAGACTTTAGCATGGATAGAAGTCATTTAATTTGTTTTGTATTATTGTTTTTAATAGTCTAGGTAATTAAAAGATAATATATTCAGAATTTTCTTAACTAATTGACAACGCACACACTCTGCAGACGTAACTGCTCGAACTCAGAACTTTTAGAAAGATCAATATTCTCTTTTATAAATGAGGCCACTTATGAATTCAGCTTTACATTACTCTTTAAATTGATCTAAAACTATATTGTATTATAAAAGAAATAAAAAAACACACACACACATTTGAAGAAAAATCAAAACTCAGTCATCAGTTTTAAGCGAAATATTGCTCTTGCAACTATATATCAATTACTTTATCTTTGTACAACAATTAAGTATTGTCTTATCCTGGGGTTTTGATTCACTCCAAACACAATTTATATGTTTCTTAAAAATTGTGTATTAACCATAGTGTAAAATAAATATTATCTCTGTTAACCATGTATTAATCACTAACTTGGTGCAACAGTTAAGTATTATTTATCTTTAAATTTTAAGTTCTGTTTTATAATTTTTAAAAAGATCAAATTCGATTCTTCTTACTTATTCAATATTTTATCAGTGAAATATATAATGCCACGTACTGTCATCTTATTGGACATTAAAATTATTAAATCATATAGAATTAAAATAGTTTATAAATATTAAGGGTAATAAAAATTGGATGATAAAAGTATTGGTTAATATTCTAATGACAGAAACCAATGTGGTGGTTTTCAAAATTAAAATGAACAGAATCGACTAGGGCTTTTAAGAAAAAGGCATGGAAGTAAACACGTACGTGCATGTGAATCATTGATATTTTATCTGACAATCACAAGCTCAAATACGAAGATGGTCACAAGGGATGCCATACACAATATATTATTAATAAATTAATAATTTTTATATACACAATGTATTATTAATAAATTAAATATTAATGATAAACTTTTAAAATTAAATTTGTCTAAATTAAAACAAAATCTTAGAAGAATTTTGAAAGTTATCATCCAATCAAGTAGTCTTATATTATTGCATGAGTGATTTATAAAAATATATGTTTTTTAAGATATCAATGAAAAAACTTATTATCGGTATCAAATTTCTTGATCAATTAATTTGAATTTAAAATAATTTTTTTTATAAGAACGATTCTCTCAAATGTTCAATAATCACGTATTAAATTTAAAATTAATAATGATTATACTTTAAACAGAAGCAAAGTTCTTGAAATGTTGCTATAAAAGAACTCAAATATGGATGTAAGTATTCTTCAAATCTGAATTTTTTATATTAATTATTTATTTTATTAATGATATTCACCTTAAAATTTTATTTGTACTTATCCTATGTAAAATTTTATATGACTAGTATGCATATGTTAATCCTAAAAAGTATTTTTAGATTCCTCGTTAAAAAACTTCAAAAGGTTGATGAAGAATAGAAGAGAGAGAGAGAGAGAGAGAGAGAGAGGGGGGGGACCATGATGTCCTTTGGGAGGGCAACATTGGTCGTTTAAACCCCAACGGGGATTGCCTTGAGGGATGTCTTGTGAGCTCATTTTCAGAAACCCCCTAGGAAAAATAAAATAACCCACAGCCCCACCTGATTTTGCTTTGGAAAAATCCATTTACCTTAATTACCTCTCTCACCATATATACCCCTCTTTCCACCCTCTTTGAAAACCCACCACCTCTCCTTCTTCCTCCCCCAAAACCCTCTTATTACAGCTTCCAACAATGGCTATCAGCAGGAAGCCCAACAGATTGGCACAAACAGCCGTGATAAAGAAAATCCTGAAACGATGTTCCAGCTTAGGAAAGAAACAAGGCAACGGTGAACAACAACAACAAGGACTCCCTTTAGACGTCCCCAAAGGTCACTTCGTCGTTTACGTCGGCCAGAACAGAAGCAGATACATTGTACCCATCTCGTTCTTGACCCTACCCCAGTTCCAGAGCTTGCTCCATCAAGCTGAAGAAGAGTTCGGGTTCGGTCACGACATGGGGCTCATCATTCCTTGTGAAGAAGTTGTTTTCCAGTCTTTGATATCCATGCTCAGATGAATTCAAGACTGGTTGTTTTTTCATGGAGAAATGTTGAATTGAGATGAAGCTGCTTCGTTTGCTTCTCTCATTATATTTTCCCCTCCCTCTCTCTCTTTTTACTGAGTTGTTTAAACTGAATCTGACACACACAAACAAAACCGATGGAGAATGTTTGGTTTTTATGTGGGTTCCTTTAGATTTGTAAATCTGAGCTGGAAAATATTTTCCTCACTGAGATATTCTGTGAGAGAGATAATATATCAAATTCCGGTTTCAGTCTCTATATTATGCTTAAAATGGGATATATTTGTAAATTTTATATTTTAATTTGATATATTTTTCTAATCATCAATATTGAATTTATTAGTTGATTAATTCAAATCAAATTCTATTACGGAGGCAATAATCTGAATTCCGTCTATTCTATTTATAAATTCATAATATTAATACTCAAACTTCAATCTTATTTAAAAAAATCTAATAATTCATTTTACTAAATCAATTAATTAAAATATTATGATAGACTTTGATTAAAATATTGATGTTTCCAGTTCTAACTTACTATTGATGTCATTAGTTTTTTTATACTGAAGGGAAAAAGGTATATAGTCAGCATTTTTGTAAGAATAATCAGGGTGTTGACTATTTCTCCTAATTAATATCATTATAAAGCGTAGAAAGATTAAATTGTGTCAAAATTGAAGTATAGACTAAAATCCTGAGTATAGTGGAGGGATTACACCATAATTTGACCATTATTATAATGTTTCTGGTTAATTCAATCTGCACAATTACAGGATCGTAAAATTAACTCCATAATCACTTTAAACTAAAATAAAAATTAATTACAGAATTTGCATGTAAGAAATTCAAATCCAGATGACGATTGGGTACGACCATTATATGACGAGATTTCCGTCAATGCACTTATTAAATTGTTGGAACAAACATTACACGTAAACAAGGCAATAATAAAACAAGTTTGATAGATTTGGTGTTAGTGTCAATGCTTTTAACTGTTTTTCCGGGATTTCTTTAGTTGGTTGATGATTTATGTTTCTTTTCTTTTAAATAAAAATTCTCCTCTAAAAAGAGTACCCGAATAATATTAATAGGAGAGTCACAATTACATGGAGTTTGTACTACAACCAATTTGAATAACCTGTGCAGCCGAAACACAATACTTAACCATACCCTATTTCCCCAATTCCTGCTATAAATGCATAAATGGAACTATTGTCATATACAGGGAAATAAATTCAAACAAAGCTTTACCAAATAGCCGATTAGCAGCACCAAAGAAATGTTAACAACACAGCAGCGGAACTGACCATAAACGAACCATACGTTCGCACTGAAAATCGACCAAACCAAGGATTACCTCGAGCCTTTAAAGACTCTAAATGCACAAGAGTTGCGAGTGAACTCCAAGGCTCAAGCTACCGAGAGTGGCCACTTTCTTCTGGCCCAGAATCCAATTCGCAGCAGGGCAATATCGAATATTTGATACGCAGAAAAGCTCTTACCCTTAAAAATGACTTCATTTCTGCACAGCCATAGTGAGCATATAAGTCCCAAAAAAATTAGTTGTCACACCGGTTTGGATGCCCGACTACCCAGATAACAGTCCCAAAACGATATAAAAGATTTAGAATCCAAAGGAATTACACAAGATAACTCCCATAACTTGAACCATTTTGTCATGATAGAAGAGGAATTAGGATTGGAAAAAGGGGAAATTGGAAGGAAATTAACTCAACTAGGGATTTTGAACGAGGGAGAGTTAGGGATTTTGAAAGAGGAGGGATTAGAAAATGAGAAGGTTGGGGAGCAAATTACTGTGGAGGCTGGAGTAGAGAAGGAACTTGGGTCTGCTGAGGCAAACACGGGCCTGAGTAATGGTGGGCCTAGCAGATTATCTGATGAGACCCAAATATTGTTGAAACCTGCATGAGTCAGCAGCAGTTAGTTAATTTGTTAGATTCATAGTACATGTCAGCTGGTACTTGTAATTATATAAAATGTACCTGATTCCATTCTGGAATTATCTTATGAATGAATTGCAAGTTTCTGTATCTATTTCTCTCTACATTTCTTAAATCCCTAAAAAATTTCTCTCTTATTCGATCCTAAAACATAACAATTGGTAATCAGAGCTGAGTTGAGTGATCCAAAAACTATTTTCACGCTGGGAAAGACAAGAAAAATGCAGAAGGCTGGATCCACAGAGGTACCAGAACAAGCGGGGGAGGTTAAGGAAGAGATCTTACCATCTTGGTGGGCTGGGCAGAAAGAGGAGCTGGAATGAAGGATACAAACCCTGGAAGAGGGAATGACTGAAAACAGAGAGTATTTGCAGAGGATCCTACAGTTGGTCAATCAAGCAACTGAGGAGAAAGATTCACCTCAGTCAGTAAAGAATCAACCAACAGCAACTGAAAAACAGAACAAGAATAGAGGTAAACAACCATGTTTGATTACGGTTCTTAGTGAGCATGAGAAGTATACTTTTCAACCTAATGAACCAGGGATATTAGCTTTTAAACCTGTGGGGTTTAATGGTCATCAAATTGTTAATCCAAAAGTGCAAGAAGAAAAATATTATGGGAAGTTCTAGTGAGAGTAAGGGGGAGGAGATGAACATGTGGACACTAGAAACTATTTTAAAAATCCTTTTGGAAATGCAAGTGTTGTGCTACCCAGACCAAAATTGGAGCTATCAATATTTGATGGGAATAATTCCAGAGGGTGGATTCGGAAATGTCAGAAATTTTTAATCTGTTTGGAATACTTGAAGAACAAAAACTGGAAATAGCTGCTATGTATTTTAACTGGGAGGCCTGAGACTTGATTTGATGGTTACATTATGCAGAAGCATAGAGCTACTTGGCATGAATTTGAGGCTGATTTGTGACATAGGTTTGGTGACAGAAATTATTCAGACATTATTGAAGAATTTAATAAGTTAATGCAAAAAGGAAGTGTGGAAGAGTATCAAGAGAATTTTGAAGAGTTAAAACCCTATTTGCTACAACAGAATATGTATCTGGGAGAATATTATTTTGTTTCCAGTTTTATTAGTGGTCTTAAAGAGGAACTGAAGCATAAGGTCAAGGTGTTGGAGCCTAAAACTCTATCTGAGGCATATAGACAAGCCAAACTTTATGAGTTAGCAAATGAGATTGAGACTAAAAGGTATAAAGTTCATACCAGGAGTTTTGCTTACACATCTCAGAATATGCATCCAAAGAACTTGAATACTGGTTTGGTGACTAAAACCAGTCCACTAAATAGTAATGCTAAGCAAAGTTTAGTGGAGTATAGGAGAACACATAATTTGTGCTTTAAATGTGGGGAAACGTTTACCCCTGGACATCAATGCAAGGTCAGGCAACTGAATTGTATGGAAGAAGAGGAAGATGCTACTGAAAAAGGTATGATTGAAGAAGAAGCTGGGGAAAAGGAGGATTCAGAAAATGAAGCTCTTGAAATATCCATAAATGCTATTACAGAGAATGTGGGTCATACTACTTTGAGGATACAAGGATTTATCAAGGGGAAACCCTTGAACATTTTGATAGATAGTGGAAGCACTCACAGTTTTGTAACTCCTAAGTGGGTTAAAGAAGGAATGGAGTTGGTAAATACTCAACCCTTAGTAATCACAGTAGCTAATGGAGAGAAGCTTTACAGCAATGCTAAGTGTAATAAAGTAAGCTGGAAGATGCAGGGATATGAATTCCTACATGATTTTAGAGTTCTATCTTTGGGGGGCAGTGACATGGTTCTTGGTGTGGATTGGATGGAGGAATTTAGTCCCATTTTAATGGATTTTAAGGACATAACTATCAATTTTATGAAAGATGGCCAGAATGTTGTTATTAGAGGAACTCAAAAATTACCTATAGTTAGATCCATTACTGGAGAGAAATTTCAGAAGTTGGCATTAAAGGATACTGAAATGACTGGAGAAATTTTTTGGTTGAGTGTTGAAGTTGCTGACAGCATAACTCCTCAACCACTTCAGAAATTGTTGGCAGAATTTAATGAAGTTTTTGAAGATCCTAAAGGAATGCCTCCAAAAAGGAAACATGACCATGCTATTGTCCTAAAACAAGGGTCACAGCCTGTGAATCTCAGACCTTACAGGTTTTCATATCCTCATAAGGCTGAAGTTGAAAAACAAATTACTGACATGCTAGCAGCTTCCATCATACAAGTTAGTCAAAGCCCTTTTGCTTCTCATTGTCTATTAATCAAGAAGAAGGATGGGACTTGGAGGTTTTGTGTAGACTACAGACAACTTAACTCTACCACCATCAAGAATAAGTTTCCTATTCCTATAGTAGAAGACTTACTAGATGAACTGAATGGAGCTGCATTTTTCTCAAAAATTGATCTAAGGTCAGGGTATTGGCAAATCAGGATCAGGGAGGAGGATATTCACAAGACTGCCTTTAGAACTCACCAAGGACACTATGAATTTAAGGTAATGCCAGTTGGGCTTACTAATGCTCTAGTTACTTTTCAAGCATTAATGAATGATTTATTTGGTGCCTATTTAAGGAAATTTGTCCTTGTGTTCTTTGATGATATTTTAGTTTACAGTCCTAACTTGGCAGCACATGAAAAGCATCTAAGGGTGGTTTTAAACATTCTGTTGGAAAATAAATTATATGATAAGAGGAGCAAATGTTTCTTTGGGCAATCACAAGTGGAATATTTGGGGCATTTGATTTCATCACAGGGAGTGGCTACTGATCCTGCTAAGATCAAGGCTATGCAGCAATGGCCTTTGCCTAAGAATTTAAAAGCTTTGAGGGATTTCTTAGGTTTGACAGGATATTATAGAAAATTTATCAAAGGTTATGGAGAGTTGAGTAAGCCCTTGACTAATATGCTCAAAAAGGAAGGATTTCATTGGAGTCCAGAAGCTATGACATCATTTAAAGAATTGAAACAAGTAATGTGCAGAGCTCCAGTTTTGGCTTTACCAAATTTTGAGAAAAAAAAAATTTTGGAGACAAATGCTAGTTCAAAGGGTATTGGAGCAGTTCTCTCTCAAGAAGGAAGGCCTCTAGCTTATTTAAGCAAGGCTCTTGGGCCAAAACATGCAGATTTGTCAATCTATGAAAATGAATATTTGGCCATTTTAATGGCAGTATCTCATTGGAGACATTATTTAGAAAATGGACCTTTTGTTATCAAGACTGATCATGAACCATTAAAACTTCTACTTGAGCAGAAGTTGACTACAACTATTCAAAAGAAAGGACTCACTAAGTTGTTGGGACTTGATTATACAATACAGTACATAAAGGGCAAACACAATAAAGTAGCAGGTGCTCTTTCTAGACAACAAGAGGATTCTGGTGAGTTTTTTTAAATAGGGATAACAATTATAACTCCTACTTGGATGCAGGACATTGAACAGAGTTACCAGGATGATGCAATGGCTCAAGAAAAGATTCATATCTTGGTTCTACAACTAGGAAGTATAGAGGATTGGAAGCTGGTTAAGGGAGCTTTATATTTCAAAAATAAAGCTTATGTGGGCAGTAAAGGAGACCTCAGAGAGAAAATCATTATAGTTCTCCATGATTCATCAATAGGAGGCCACTCAGGTATACAAGCTACCTATCAAAGAGTTAAGTCTTATTTTTTTGGCCTAGACTGAAAACTATGGTTCAACAGTATGTGCAGCAATGTGATGTTTGTCAAAGGACTAAGATAGAACA